CAGCGGACCATAGCCATGAGGACGTTCTCCTCAGGATCAAGGCTCGCCATGTTCTTGGCCTGGTTACCGATGAACGCAGCGCCGGTGCCACCACTGCAGTGAGCAAGGCCGGAAATACGGAACAGACGGTAAAACTCATCCAGCTCGGCCGGGGCCAGACCCATCGTCTGAGACACGTGCTCGTAGTACCTGGGCGAGTTATCGCTGGAGATCGTGCCGTCGATGAGGCCGTGGTAGTGCAGGAGCTTTCCACCGCGGTTCTGGAAAGGGGACAGGTCGCCGTCCCAGGTCTCGACGTTGAAGAGGTTCAGGCTCGATGAGCGCACATAGTCCTCGGGAGTAATCGTGGCCGGGTCCCAGGTCGAATCGTTCAAGATCGCGTACTTGAACCAGTCAGAGGCACCAAAGGGCTGTCCGTTGAAGTAGGTCTGCGGCGCACCGCTGAGCTCGGCGCCGGGTTGCATGCGCGGGTAGACGAGGTCGCCAGAGGCGTCGATCAGGGGCGCGTAGATGCCACGGAGGGTCTCAACCTGCTTCTGGGTAAGGCAGGCGTCTGTCTGGTTGCTGTTGACGCCGCAGAGGAGGCTTTCAGGCTTGTAGTCGCAGAGGTCGGGGGACTCGAGGAAGCCGTCCTTGACGCCGTCCAGCTCGTCGCACTGGGCCAGGATATCATCGTGGATAGTCGGCCACATGGTCATGGGAATGAAGGTGTCCGCGCCCTGCTGGCCGGTGAGGGGAAGGAAGTGGCAACTCCAGGAGGTGAGATTGTTGAAGGAGAAGGCCGGGGCTCCGGCGACGATGCCGTCAAAGTTCTCGGGGAAAGCCTGAGCCTGCTTGAAGCCCTGACGGCCTCCAGTAGAACAGCCGAGATAATAGCTCTTCGTATGGGGCTTATTGTAGAACGACTTGGTAACATCCTTGCCGACGACGACACCAGTCGTCAGGGCGCGGTACACGAAGTCCTCGATCACATCCTCGTTGTTCAGGAACGGGAGTCCGCTCATGCCATCGTGGCCGTTGTTGGTGGCCACGGAAGCGAAGCCAAGGGAAGACGCATACGCGAGATCCTCGTACTGAACGCAGCCACCGAGGGCGCCGTTGCCGGTGCTGAGGAAGCGGCCGGTCCAGTTCTCGGGCAGCCAAGCTTCGAACTTGAGACCAGAGCGAGGCGAGGTAGCGATGCGCGCGGTGACACGGCAGATGTTGGCCGTGACATTCTGAGAGGGACGACTGCAAGTGGGATCCGCGTTCGGGAACTGCAAGGTGGTTCCTGCTGGGACGTACTCGGAGGCGGTGGAGTTGGCCCCGTTGATACGTAGAGAAGTTGCAAAAGAGGCGCACTGTTGCTCAAAGGTCGTGTTACCCTTGGTCAGGGCAACGGCTTGAACACTTGGCGCCAGGGCGCCAAGAAGCATGAGTGGTAACATAATGAGAGACAAGCTCTTGTGAATGAAAGACTGAGTGAGTGTAAAGAATGCTGAGTGGTCCATGAAACAACATCATGTGCAGGATGCGAAGCCGCATTCCTTTTGTACACTTCAAGACATCGTACTTTTCAATAAGTTGAGCAAGGACGCGTAATTCAAACTTGAACGATTCATGCCCTCATCAAAATACTTCCTAAATCTGGGTCATAGCTAGGGCAGCGGGAACACCGACATGTGGACGACTGTACAGTCTGTCGATATCGATGCTATTCAGGGATCCTACAATTTAGGTCAAAAAGCCGAGCAAAGTACTGTACCTCATGCAGTCCCGTTCTGCACCCCGCATAAAACAGTCTAATTACTGGCACCTAGCGCACATGGTGGTGGATAGAAACGCGCTTGGGTGCAACAGCCGGACCTAAACTCGGGCCCAAAGGGCCCAGACCTTACCTGTATCTACCTAAGTATTTTACAAAGTCGCATGCTCCTGCCCCTTTGACAAACTGCTGGTAGACAAAAGCTCAAGCTTGTAGACTAGAACCGTTGGGACTAAGCAATACCATCATCTGATCCTCGTTCGGTGTAGCGTCTACCTGCCTTTCGCGGACGAGGGAGGTGGTATTTTCAACGAGACACACAGCCTCCAACTCTTGTCTGTAGCATGGGGACCCCCCTTGACTACCTTACGCTCTACCTACCACCATCATTGCCCCTGAGGTGGCGCCAACTGCTGGGTGGAACAGCCCTGGCAATTTACTGGACAGCCCACTTCTTGTTATCAAGTATCCGTCACATCATTGCACAACGACGACACGGCAGTGGTTCACGTAAGCATACCGGGGAGGACGTTTTCTGCTATAGGGCTACCGGGATAGGCAGTCAGATCTTCAGAGATCTTCAGTACCCCGGGGCCAATATGCTTCCGTCTCGGAACGCGGCACAGCGGACTCGATTACCGCCTCGTTGTGCAACGGTGGAGAGGACGGTGGACAATGTCGAACTACTATGCGAGACCTGCGGCTAGATACTTCAGGCTGAGCATTATTTTGCTACAAGGCGTTTCCTAAGGGCTAATCCCACCCGTACCCGAAGTTTACTTCGTTCAGAATTCTGGCGTTAAGGGATTTCAACTCAAAGGTATGAATCGCGCAAATGAGAAAAAAGACGGCACTTTCTTTAAGCTTAAGCCCTTTTACATATTGACAAATGACCTGTCACAATGTCTTGCCCACCTGAAGAGGGCTTTCCTGTAGACCGGGCGGATTAGTCAACTCTCCGAAAGTCCTTGAGGGAATGACGAGATTACAGGAGAGCGATTACGTCGTCTCTCGACGATCGCAAAAGAGTAGAGCCGGAGTTTACCAGCATAGTGGAGATAGATGCAGATGGCTGACACCTTAAACGAACCCTAGCCAGATGCTAAACTGTAAATAGGTGTGTACCCACCCCCGCGATGGCATGCTTAACCTTGACAGACAAGGACCTCGTCGGAGCTCTTCCGCGTACAGTTGTAAGGGGCGGGCAAATCTTTACCCACATACACGCTGTTCTCAAACCTAGAGCAATGGGGTTTTCGGCTTGTATCTCCTTTCTATGTCCTCAACCTGATGCCGCAAAATACAACATGCTCTACCATGAGTTGTGTACATACCATCCCACATCTAAGCTAAGGCCAGAACTCACGCTTCAGCTTTTGCGCTTTCTGTTTCTCTTATTTGCCATTCAACGACCAATTGCTGCATAACGTCTCCATTGTTGGCGGCCATTGCGAAGTGTATCAAATACATAGATGGACTGATATCCGTGCCCGAAATGTTGCACAGCCTCAAGAAACTTCAAGAGACAAGACCAAGTTTAGAATCACCGCCGATGGCCAAGAAAGCTGGGCCTACAGTGTTTTTCTTTGCAACAGGTGTTAGTTTAGTTGACAACAGGCCACATCGGATATCTCCCTGAGAGGAAAATTCCTACTTCATGATTTCTCTTCGGTGCCCATGTAACCTTACAAGCCTCAATGCCATCATATGAATGAGGAGCGGCTCTGAGCACGGATAAAGAGGCATGATCTCTTCATCCTCTAAGATATGGTAGTCAAAGTACATAAAGTTCTGTCAATGCCGAGGCTGTAGCTCGGAGACTCTGTCCGTCTGCAAAGGGTCTGATGTGGGCTGGCAAGCCTGACATGTGTCATGCCCCGGAGACGCGACGCTTTTCGGGATGATCTACACGGATCCAACTTGCCAATTCTGATTTCGCGGATCCTTGGCAGGGGAGACCATCTGTCCTTTCGCGCGCGGCTGTGTGCAAAGGGCCGGCTATTCCTCTGCACATGGCTGACAAAAGTAAAGACTGCGTTCTAGCCATTTTCTGGGCTCTACGATCGAATACCTTACACCCCTACTGAGTCTGATGGGGAAATCAGACCCATCTGTTATTGCCGTTGCAGCATTGGCCTCAGGTAACAATGTGCTGTTCCATGGGCTGAAGTTCCGGTAAAGAGCCATCGGCGGTCTGTAGCAATTATCTGCTCGAGTCTACGAAAATACTCCTACCTGTCTTTTGAGATGCTAAGGTGCCGGGTCCAATCAAAGTTACAGTCCTTGAGGAGACGGTTCTTCTATCCTCGAAGTTCTATCTTCGGGGTTGTTCGGTCGATGTTGACTTCTGTGCATGTGCTCTTCGTGCACTTAGTCAAATCAAGACGATGCATGATTCGAGAAGGAAGGAGAGTAGTATCTACTGATCTGTACTACTTTACGGGCGTGACCCAGGTAGATTTTCTCCGAGTCTAAATGCAAAGAAGCCATTTTGTCCTACCAGACAGTATACATCTTCGCCGTCTTGTGCGCTACTACTCACTGGCTGGTTTCACTTCCAAACGATTTTCCAAAACCTGATAAGCCCCCGTATTTTATTAAAAATTGAAAGCTTCATCCACACTTGTGAAGCAGGGCTAACCGAAAACGTCAGGTGTTTTCTGACTACTTACACCTCGGAACAGGTTTTACGACAAATGCTTGGAAGAATCAGGCTTGCGTCATCATGTTACACATCGAATGCTGCAGGCCCTATTGGGACTTTCACTAAAGCTAGAGAAGCAACCAATATGCATCACAACAACCCTGGCTCACGGAACCAACTGGCTAGATACGTATTTCCAGTCTTGCAAGGCAAGTGAGAAGCCCAATATTGCTTTGTACTGCTACAAAGTAAAAAGTGCCTCTTCCGGCTCTAGTTCAGACATTGTTCTTCGCACAATCGGCTGTCCCTTGCAGCCAGCCCCTAGATCAAGCTGGAAAGACATGGTTCTTGTGAGGCCTTGACCGATCAGCAGAAGGAGTGAGCCAAGAGCTGCAAGTATCCACCGAGTGTCTCGCATCGCCAGTCACCGGCGTCCGCGGAACGTCCCCTCTTCTACGCGGGCAGGGCGGGTAGCTCTCCCGTCCTCAGGAGGCACACGTACTACGAAACGACCCCAGGCCGGCAATATATACGGACGATTCCTATCAATACCTCCAATAACCTAAAACGTACAAGTCTTTCCCCTCAATTTCCCGCCTCCCAGTCAGATCGATGGCGCCATCACCAGAGCCGCGCACCTCTGCTGGTGCGTCAGAGAGCCTCGACGACAATAGCGCCGGCAGCGGCAGCACCAGGCGATACTGCTGGGAATGTCAGCGCCGGGGCTTGGTCTGCGATTCTAAACGTCCGGTATGCTCCAGGTGCAAGCTTAGCGGCATAGTGTGCCCTGGGTATGAGAACGTGAAGCCTTTGACCTGGGTGACCCCTAATCAGGTCACGACGCGGACATGGAGGGGCGGACGAAAACCGAAAACTGATAAAATCGACATCGCCAAGAAGGGTTTGAAAGGCAGCGGCAAAAAAAAGGCGATACCGAAGATTCCAGAAGAAGAAGGTCGCCGGGTAAAGCTCATCCATGTATTTCCCGGACAAGAGCTCCGGACGGAAACATGCGACATTGCTGAGGCTTCAATTTATTGTTAGTCAGACTTCTAAACAGTGCTCTGGAACCATGCTATCCCAATGGATCTACCTGCGCATGCCAAAAGATTTGGGCTGACAAGCACCTCGATACCCATAGGGAACGAACAGGTTTACCCATACTTCTACGAGAACCAGCTCACTAAGAGCCCGTGGGTTGTACCAATTTCCCACATCCACGCTATGAAACCATACCGACGGCATGGCCTAGTCACTATGGCAATCGAGCACCGGATGTCACGCCTATCGCCTGCAAGGAATGACGCTTACGCAATTGAGGTCAGAGCTAGGGCCTATCAGCATCGTCTTACAGCGATCCAGGCTTTAAATAAGGACATCGAGAACGAGAGTACGCGATGCTCTGATGCAACTCTGGCTGGCGTAATCGTCTTCCTTTTCGGTGATGTAAGGGAGAAAATGCTATTACACCCATGCGCAACCTGACACTGATGGAATGTAGCTTATGGGGAGTGCAACAGAGCCTAACTGGCGTGTCCACTTGAATGGGTTTGCTGCGTTGATTGCTATGCGTGGCGGTTGGGATGCGTTCTGTCAAAAGTCGCCGCATCTCAAGTCCCTAGTGTTATTCTGTAAAGTGTGAGTGTCTCCTGTACAATTTGTTATCAAGGCCACCAGGTTTAGGACATACTAGCCTTGCTTCGGCGTAGTCATCACGGCATACGTCACCTGCTACTAACTCCAGCCCGTCATCTAGCATCGAGAATCTCGCCAATACAACTAGCCCCGCCCACGATCAAGTATCGCCAGTCGCAAACTTTAAGATACGGAATGTAGTGAGGGACGTATTCTCGATTGGATATTATCCCCAGCTTCCATGTCCAGTCGACTTACTCATCGACATCATTCACATCAACCGCCTTCGCTTCCAAGCAACGTGCATTCAATCTGGAGGACCTCTCACCTCGATCAGGATTGAAGCAGAGCGTCTTTTAGATAAGATTTTGGGCTATTCACCTGAAGTCTGGTCTAGTAGCGCGGAACCTTTAGCAGATGAACACCTCTTAATGGCCAAGACCTATCGGTCAGCCGTGGCACTGTTCGGTGTTTCCTCTCTACAAAGTGTGAAGGTCATTCCTTTCTCGAAAGATTGGATGACTGTCAAGGAAACCCATCGTGACAGGCTGTTTTCTTTTCTCAAAGCCTCGCTTGCCTCTTCAGCATTGAAGATCTGCACCACATGGCCAATGATTGTAGCCGGGTTCGAGGCGAAGAGTGGAAACCTGTCCATGCAGAGCTTCGTTCTGGGGCGTATGAAGGAAGACAGTCAGAGGATGGGAATCTATCTTCCAGTCGCAGCTAAAGAGGTCCTAGAGAGATTTTATGCCTCTGCAGGAAACACCTGGGACGATTGTTTCGACAGTCCTCATGCGTTGTTCACGTAGGATGAAGGCAATAAGGGAACCAATCAAACATGCATAACCGATGAGTCCTTAGCAGAAGGCCAAGTGATGGCCCTGGGCTACTGTGACTAAAGTTGATGATGTTGGGAAAGGCTTCACCGGAAACACGCCCGAGTCATACTTTTTCGGCACCTCGGAAGCAGTGCAAACTCTATTCTGGCTTCAGGTGGTAGTTGGGAAGTTGGGAGCAGCTCATCTTAAGGCGAAATCAGACATTTAGCGACTCTTTAGTATTCGGGGGAGCCGCACCAGGAGTGGAGTGTAGTTGAATTAATCGCTGAAACCCAAATTGGCGGCTATATCCGAACCGGAGACTATCTATTTCGACAAACTTACTCACAGCGCCCAGTCAGCGAATAACACGAACGGCATTCTTGGCGAGGTAAAACACAGTGAGGCGACCAAGGGACTAAAACTTACCTTCGTTATTAGGCCCATAGGCAATTTCAACCAAACCTCTCGTAGCTTGGTGGTTGACTTGCTATAACGGAGGCCTGACAGTGGCCTTTTATTCCTGGGCAAACCCAAATACAGTGATGTCAAAAAACCAAAGTGACGAAGTATGGAAGCACTCAAAGAAAGTTACGCCATAGTGGCCCTGAGCCCATTCTTATGGTTTGCTGGTAAATGAGGCCTTAAGCTGACTGAGAGGATGCACGGATATGGCAGGGGCACAAGTATATACGAATACTCTTGAATTCCCGAGCATCAATAGCCTGCTTCATCTGAGCGAGACTTCAAAGATTTGCTCTTGAACATTGAACCCAGGCCAGCATGCAGTACTCCATGATCAACGTTCAAAAGTTGGCCCTTTGGGGCGCATTCAGCCTGATTGCTGTAAAGGCTCAAACCGATGACCTTCTACCTGGAGATGACAGCGAAGCTGTCTGGAAACCGATGGGAAAGGTTGATCCCTGGTATCTGCCCGCCGATGTAGTCGACGGTGGCGACAAAGATGGCTCTGGTAAGTCTTGACACCAGTCCTCACCACCGAGGCCAAACTCCAAAGCTGTATCCCGTAGCTAACCTTTCTTCAAGTCCTCCAAAAGGCCACTGGTAACCGTATCCGTTGCGGTGTTGTTGGCTACGACAAGGAAGACAATATCTGGATGATTCCCGCCAACGGCAACTTCGATCAGGTCGGCTACATTCTGCCTCGGGGTGGATATGATTCAAGGTCGGACAAGTCTATCGCAGACTGCGTACTGCGAGAGTCAAAGGAAGAAGGAGGTCTTATTATCGATATCAACTCGTTGATCCCCCTCGGACTCAGCAATGGCGGAGCAGTATACTGGTACAAGGGAAATGTTACTGAAACAGTCGAGCCGACCGAGCCCCGACCTAGACCACCAAAGGGCTTCACAGTCGACGATACGCGCGCGGAGCTGTTGAAGCCTCCGGGAAAGCCGGCAAAGAAGGCAGACATGCGCCAAGCATTCCACAATTCGGCTACAGCAGATGAATCTACCAGATATGAGCTCACCTTCACGGCAAAGGATGGCAGCGCAACTGGCGGCTCAGACTACTCCGTGAAGGATCTTGGACGTTGGAAGGCGATCTACACCGATGGCTTCACAAACGGCGAACAAGCTATTATGAAGGTCCTTTGCGATGTTTACGGGTACAGAATTGTTGCCAATGAAGCGTGGGCAAGCCAGGTTCCCCTCGGCCTCAGTCTTAGCTCGGTCATTACACAGCTTTGGACAGCCACGACATTGGATATCAACGAGGTTACGTCCATCAAGTTCTCCGAAGTCGTCGACCCGGCGACCCAAACCGCGATTAGCAACGCACGCACTGAGCTTGGAGAGAGTGCCGGAGGTTTCACTACGACTAATGACCTCGGTGAGACGAAGGGCTGGAACACCTTGATGGCTAGTCCTTACGGAGTGGTGGCTTCAGAAGTGGCTAAGGCGGCTGGCAAGGGAATCGCGGGAATCTCTATAACGGACGGCAACCCTTCGGAGATACTGTTCACACTAGAGCAGTAGCGGTAAGCCTTATGGTATTAGGCTTCAGGAGCAGCTTAGTATTTTGCACCGCGAAGACTTGTTGGCTCTATGTTATGGGTAGCAAATGGCACACCGTCCAATGCACACGTAAAGTAATTAACCACATAATCACATGACGGCTGCTATCCTTACAAGTAAACCAATACTTAGCGGTATCCAACTGAGATACTTTCATTACATGACTTGCAGAATTCGCCGAAACAAATAGCCTAATCCGTTAAAAATTGTGGTGGTGATGTTGGTATAAGGTAGGTGGAGGTCATGATGAAAAGGGCGATAAGGAGACCTCGGTATGAGACAGTACGGCGAGAAGTTAGGGATGAGTGGGAGATCATTTTGGAAGTACGCTCACCTAATGGATAGATTACCCTGTTAAGGTGTCAAGGCGTCAAGCTGTCCCAAGGTATTCAGGTCTGGGCCTATGGGAGCCAATGGACCGGTAATCCCAACTTACTTTCCAGTCATCTTGACAGCCTTGATGCCAGGGTAGGTAAGGGGAAATGAGAGAGGAATCGGTACAGGAAACGTCACGAAGTTCTTATTGGTTTAGAAATGTAAGAATCATGAGTGAGGTCTGGCTATCTTCCGACAGCTAAGGCTGCGTTTCGGGAGTAGTGAACAGAAGCTGCTTGCATCATACGGCATTTGCCCTTCATGCCTACCTAAGATTCTGCCCAGATTACTGTTGCATAGATGACTTGGAGATAAGTTGTTGGCCACTGAATCAACAACGGTCCTGAGCCGAAAAGAAGGATGAGTGTGGCGCGGACAATGTCGGCAGTAGTAACAAAGTCCACCTACGGAGCTAAGGAAAAAGGATGGGCAAGTAGAGCAGACAATTCCGAATTCTCAGTCGTAAAGGATTCTCCGAAATTGACATCCTGGAGAACAGATCGACTGGACTATGTGAGATTCAGATTGGCAGTCGTAGCTTCGAGTTAATATTGACTCTCACATCGTAGATGATGGTCCTTCCACACGTAGAAGTCCATTGCCTTTTTGAAAGATTGTGTGCCTGCCAAGCCAATCACTCTTTGATTTATGACGCAATGACACTTCCACCTCACGCCTGCCTTGCTCTTGACACATAAATACTTACTCAGAGATCTGGAAACCACCGCCGCTCGGCATAGGACCTTCTGGTTCTATCTCCACGTCACCCACGGGAAAGAGGCCTGCCAGCTTCCCGCTCGGCGAAAGATGTATGTCTATCCTGCTTTCCACTTAAGTAATGTAAGCTACGTAACACAACATCCGTCGTTCACAGGCCGTTGAGGATATCCTTCCAGCTTTCTGAATAAAGAACACGATCGAAACATTTTGCCCCAGCATCTTGCCCCAACATCTTGTCCCGGCATTAGCCACATGGTGATTTGACCTGAAACAGGGAGACAAATCCACTGTGCCTAGCTGATTGCACTGGCTTGAATTGTCTTGAATTTTTGGTCGTGAAGTCTGAAGAACCTCTGGCCTGAACTGCTAGTCCTGTCATTTACGCTGCCGAAGTCGCCTTCTCGCGGCATGCGCAGTCCACAAGCCGCTACACCCGTAAAATGCCTATCCAGGTACCGACGGAGTGTCAAGATGTTTGTTTCAAGGTGCTCAAAGTAGTTTTAAACTTTGAAACTAATAAGGGCCCAATCTACGTTTTGACATCTTGACAGCCTGAGGAAAGGGTCACTTGAAAGTCAAGCGTTAAGCCTATCTCCGAACACCCTGATAGTTTGACGAAATGAATACAGGTGACGAGTCACATGAGCCCTGATGGGCGCGGTATAAACTCACACTTACCTTACGTATTAGGGCATTTATGGTCAACATATCCCTAATATCTTGTGGCTATTCCTAGTACTGCAGCTTGCACACTGAAGAGTCGTTCCGCCTTGTCTGATTTACCTAACTTATTCATTCACCGCTTCAGAAACGGAACATGGCTTTGAATGTACTCGTAGCGGCAATGCCGCATCTCATTCGGTCTAATAGATCGTACAGAGATATTGCAGCTCGACGGAAAGACAATTGTCCAGAAACAAATCCTTTCCATGAGGCTCAAGCTGAATCGCAAAACTTGTCTTTAGCTCCACACACAACAGCCAACGCATGTGAAGAGTCACTACAAGCATTAGACTCGAACGCCAAAGTTTCGCAGCCTATCGATGGGCTGAAAAAAGATCCGGCGCAGCCTCTAGTCTTGCGCCGCTTCCTTCGATGGATAAAAGCTTTGCCGAGTCACCCGAAGAAGGAGAAGCCGGACTTAGGACCCGGTCTCGATCACGCCCTGCCACTCAACCTGCACCTGGCCATCGCCAAACACCTCACTATGGCCGAACGCGTGGCCTTGGCATTGACGAGCAAAAGAATGCTGGCAATCATGTCAAACGAGCAGTTTTGGCTAAATCGGGGGTCTAGTGAACGTCTGGATCTGTTGAAGCTACTAGAGAGGGACGCCATCAACACACGCAGGGAGATTCTTTGTTTGCCCTGTCAGATTTTCCATGATCCCGTCTTATCGGTTCCGCCAGTCGACCACAGCTCAAGTTGGGCGCCGACCGAATCAGATCGCCCCTGCGTCAAAGCAGTCTCAGAGGACCAGCACCAGAGATTGTCGTCTCCCTACCTTCCATACGATTTTCATTTCAATATGGTCAAGGCCTTCCTAGTTTCGAAACGCGATAAAAGGGGCTTCTTTCAATCAATACTCCTAGAACAGGCTACTATTTGGGGTTACTGCTATAAAAGAGAGGAAGCCAACGTCCAACAAGGCTTTGAATGTAGGGTGTCAAGCGAAGGGGATTTGCTAGTGAAGACGACTACGAGACTCTTTGCTTGCCGCGACCCAAACAAGACGAAGGATAAAGTTCGATTCGCCGTTGGAATTCTCAAACGAGCCGAGCTTACAACATGCTGCAAACACGTTGACTGGATAGACACATACCCCTTCATATTCGACTACGATGGACTCCTTGCCGATCAGAGCAAACTTCACGCATACCGCGCTTCGAAAGGGTACGGATACGATCCGGCGAAGAAAATTCGCGACATTTGGAACCCAGCCGTCAAGCCGCGATATGGACCCAAAAACCACATATCGATCACGCACTGCGAGTCTTGTTATACGAATTACGAGTACGAATGGAAGGACACCGAGGACGGAAGTCGCATCGTTTTTCTCATCTCGTACAAAAATCTAGGCAAGGGCATGGATACGAATGATCCCAAGTGGTCATCGCATTTCCACGACCATGTCCCTGATGCAAAAGCCGAGCCTCGCAACTCCCACTACGACGGGTTCACTCGGTGGCCTAACTATCATTGGCAGGAGAATGCTGATGAGGCACCGTGGGACCCAGATTATTAGGTTCCTTCCATGTACCTTACTTAGTTACCATGCTGGGTCATTGGGGGCTTAAGAAAGGCCAGAGGCGACCTTGCGCTAGCAAGCTGCTCACCACATGTCAATCCATTAAGCGATTGCTTGTCAACATACCGCTCTACTAAGGTCATTGAGGTTCGGTTCGGAGGAAACGCGATCGGGGCCGACAGGAGTTTGGAAGTCCATCCAGACGTGGGGTGACGGTAATAGGAAACGCTGTCTCCTGGAGTTCTGAGAATGTATTGGCGCTTTAGATTGAATTAATGATTTCTCAGTTGAGAAACCACCGAAAAAATTGTTCCACTAAATCCGAGCATGAGATTGATGATGTCAAGACTTCCCTGATCATCCCAAGTTGATCGCTGTGACAGTTGGATGTGGCTGAAAATAAGGTGTGGCGTCCACGGATTTCAAAGCACGCGATAACCCCCCGCATGCACGCGATAGCGAAACAGTTATCAATTAGTAAGAGCCCCCGAGAGCCGCGACTTTCCTTTATCAACGTTAACGACACAATCACGGATACCAACCGCAGAACCAGGTAGTGTCGACATCTTTGAGTTGGAACCATGGCAGCACAAAAAGACTTGGAAAGCCAACCGCAGCAGTCGGACGAGCGGACCCCGCTCCTGGGGACATCCGCCGAGGCCGGATCAAGCCAGCAGCCGGTAGAGCATCGGAACGACGATAACGGAGCCAACGAAGGCATTCAAGATCCGGAGCAGGTGCCCCTCATCACGGGCCCGAATGGAGAGGAAAAGAGGGAGAGGACGACTAGCTGGTGGTTATGGCGGGCGTTCTGGGCAGTTCTCGCCATCTTCGTCCTGGCAGTCTTTATCAAAGGCTGGATTGATGCCAAAGATACTAACGTAAGTCGGTTGGACGATGGGTCAAGTAAATCAATAACTGACACATTATCACTTAGTTTGACCTCAAAGCAGCTCTTATGAGAGCTCTAGGTGGTGGCTTGAGTGGTGCCGCGGCTATGGTCTTGCAAGTTTTAACACTCATGGTACGTACTTGAGTGAGAATAGGCGGAAGACGAGGCTTTGTTGCCAGTGAGTAGGGACGTTACTAATTGCATATTAACACTAGCCCATCCGAACTATCATGAACTATCAGTATCGTTTTGGATCTGGCTTCAGGGAGGCAACTCGCACTCTTTATGAAGATGAAGGAGTGCGCAGGTACTACCAGGGAATCGGAGCCGCACTGATTCAGGGTATGCGGTGCATGCACCTTTCTTCTTGACGCCATCATGTCAGAGTTGTGCTCACATATCTGTGAATAGGACCGGTCTCCCGCTTCGGCGACACTGCCGCTAACGCAGGTATCCTTGCCCTCCTCGAGTCGAATTCGTTCTTGAATCAGCTCCCTACCCTCATCAAGACCATCTTTGCCTCTCTTTGGTAAGCTTTTCAATACCTTCATCCTTTTCGCTCAACCGTAAAGCCATCATTAGAACGAATGCTGATGTAGAGTGACTTTGAAGTGCTGCTGCCTTCCGCATGATCTTAACTCCCATCGATACCTTGAAGACGACGTTGCAGGCCCAGGGAGCGAAGGGTACCGCTATTTTGAGACAGCGCGTCAAGACAAATGGCATCGGTAGCTTGTGGTGGGGAGCTTTTGCGACTGCCGCCGCCACATTTGTCGGCCACTACCCTTGGTTTGGCACCGTCAGTTCAAGACTTTTCCTACACTGCAGGTGCAAGTCAAAACTAACGATCATTGGTAGTACAATTACCTTTCCGCCAACATTCCCGAACCGGACAAGAGTGATATCTTCGTTTGGCTTTTGCGTCTTGCTTTCATTGGATTTTGCGCCTCCGTCATCTCTGATTCTGTTTCCAACTCGTTGAGAGTGGTAAAGACCTACAGACAAGTCAACGACACGCAGATTTCGTACTGTACGTCAACGCTTCTCCTGATGAACCCTGTCAAACATTCTCTATGTGCTTGTCTTACTGACTGGGACCTTGCCAAAATTGCAGCCCAAGCCGCAAAGATCGTCATACAAAGAGAAGGCTTCCTCGGCTTCCTCGGACGTGGCCTCAAGACCCGAATCTTGGCCAACGGTCTTCAGGGCGTGTTGTTCTCTATCCTTTGGAAGTTGTTCCTCGACCTGTGAGTTACACGCCGGCTGCCCCCTTACATAACAGTTCTAACTCTGAACAGCTGGGAGAAGAAGACACACTCTTAGTGTTCATCACATTGAATCTTGCTGGACAGCCCTGACTAAGGTAAAGGAGGAATTTGAGAACCATCTAGCTCTCTGCGAGCAATCGTTATAGAGAAGGAACGAAGAATGCCCTGAAGGGGCAATATAGATGGGCATTGTCATAATTTGAGTATGAGAGTTGTATTTACATGGAGTATGAAGTGTGCATTCGCGTTGGTGCGGAGCTCATTCGATATCTCCTGCCTCAAAGTCAGCCGCTTCTTGCTATCCGGCAGTCTGGCCAGCAAATTCGACCCCAACAGCTCGAGCTGGCACACATGGGGCCTCTGGTGTAGCAAAAGACGAAAAAGGAGAGTGTCCCTCGCGAAAACTGCTCCAATCAAGTACATCCTATAGTAAGTGGGTGAGTGGTGCTGGTGTCCGTCCTAAGAAAGTTCAACTAGTCCACGGTCTTATGCATCAACCCCTCCTCCAACTTTGTGTTACCCATGACGTGGTAATTTGTTATCAGATGTAGAGACAAATGTGAGTGGCAGCTTGATACCGCAAAGAAACCCACCCTAGAGCCAAGACATATGTATGTCTGACCTGAGAGTATGACTGAACCGACGGGCCCGAAGGACCTGATTTATACCCGCGGTTCTAGTTGAAATTAGAGTGCAAGGTAAGGGTGATCGACAGTCTTCTAGTCCTCGAAAATATCTTCCACTTCTGAACGCCTTCGGAAGCACGTTTCGGCAAGTATATGCGCCCATTTACTTTAGAAAATTCAGCCCATGCATGAATTGTGTCACAGTGAGGAAGTGCGGATAGAGGTTCCGTTCATTCCTGTCGTATCACAAGTACATAGTCCGTCACTTGGGCTTGCGTCCCCAACAAAAATGATTCCGTTGGTCGTCGTTCTCGAAAGAGTTTGACCCGCTTATACGGAAAGCGATAGAAATCAGGATATTTATCTCACTCGAGCCTTGCTTGGAAGGTACATAGTCATTAGTCCCCGACTTGTAGCTTGGTGGCACATACAGCCGGGATATGCAGCGAGCTACTTGGCACATAACAGTTGTGGTCAACTGAAATTTTGAGCACTGCGAAGTAAATCAAAAGCCGTGGTTTGTTGATTCTAAAGATGCCAGATCCTTGCTAGTCGCTTTGTCTGCATGCTACGAGGCGTCTCTGGGCTGATTCCAATGTAACCCAGGCCAGCTTCGATGTGCGAAGAAGGTTGAGGCTGCCTCGAGGGAGACATCAGGCAGCTTGTTCGGATTTTGTTCCAGAGACTTAGGTGATCAACTGGAGCTGAGAAGCTTGTCTTCAATCAGATACAGTGGCTTTTCCTTCTCGGATGTCCCAATCAGAGGCGCAAGATAAAGTAGATCGAACTGGAGCCGGATCCGGTTCGTGATCTCCTGTGCCTACCATGTTTGAATCTTTTTCGAGAACATGAAATGCCGAACGCATTCTGTCTAGCAAAAAGGCGTCGTCAATACAGAAACTAATGTCAATTGTCTCGTATTGACGTGGTCTTCACTCTTTTGAGGTGGACAGGGTTTATGGAAACGACGCTGATAAGGCACAATTACGACAGAAGCCGACTTGTGTGGCGAGCCCTCGCGGGATATCCAATCCTGAGGAAGATCGCGACAGTCGAATCTTCTCGTATGGAGTTGAATGTGGCTTCAAGACATCGTTGAGAATTAAAGACACTAAGAAAGCCCACGAACCAATGGGGCAATCCCGCTGTCAAAACCCCGGCTAAGAACGTTGAGGTTCCACATTACGGACTTCCCCAGTCCCCGCTCCGAATTCTGGCATCACAGTGACAGTGATTTGGTCTGGCTACCTAGACTTCTGGTACCCCTTGCAGCTGCTTCCTTCTGCCTCGTTCCTGTCAATTACCCCCTAGGGTGGGAGTCGCTGCCTGGCGCGTACGCCGACGCGGGAGGCTTCCGCGACCAGTCTGTTCGTCCCGTCTCGCGATCTCGCGAGTTCGATGTCATCCGATGTGTCCAACCACTAGCATACGAGATGACATCTGATGTAGCCAGTCGCTGGATATCTCACACAACCCAATGAACATTTCAAGAGGCTCGCCCCCACAGGTTAAGAAGTATCTTTCGGCGATCTTTGCCCCGCGGGCAGAGGGGGCGCCATGACTGCATGTCAGCACGGCACTGAGAGTGCCGCCTGTTTGAGCAGACTACTGTCCAATCTCGTATCTTACTGCGTCAGAAGCGCGAGTTCGTCCTGAGACTCTCACTGGCACGAAACTACAGGTACAGTGTCATGTCGTGCACGTAGTAAGCCCTTATAGTGCATACCCGCGCTCCTGATGGCTCGTTCCCGCGCGTGCTCGGACGAATTTAACGAGCCAATCTCGTACAAGCTATCTCGAAAATTCCAACGTCATATTTGAATTAGTTTAGTATAATCAGAGAAGAATCTGAAGTTGATAAACGTAAACAAAGTGAGAGAATCAGGCATGTGACGGAATATTTTGCTAGACCTTTAGCGCAACTCTGGATGGGGTCCTAGACGGAATTGGCTGTGGCCAAGTCACGATGTGACACTGCCCCTGCCATGCGGCGCAGGCGTCTTTTCTATCCCTGCCTGTAAATCCTGCAGGTCTCTCATCGGAGCGATTGAGCCTGTCAATGGGGTCTTGAGACATATCCCGCCCTACTGATTTGCCTCAGCGATAAATCTGAGCGCAACAACAGGCTGCCATCTTTTGCTTACACAGGAATGGCCGATGTACCTCTCAGGGCGTCTATTTGCCAGATCGGGGAAGTCAGCGACGAAACGT